TTCTATGAACGGTCATCTCCTCCCACCTCCTCCTGCAGCCCCTAAAGAACAATCTATCAGGTCTCAACTCAAGGCTATTGTAAAGCCTTTTTGAGTCAGCTGGCAATGCTGTCTGCTCTGATGCAATGTTCTCCACACAGAAGTAACCTCCCCTTTTTATCCTCCTTTTGTGAAAAACTGTTCAATTCCTTCCATGTTCCCTGGTGACTCATGGCCTTGCGGGCTTAATCTCAGAGGTATGTCAACAGAGCAGGTCTGAAAGGGTGATGAGATATTAATTAAAATGGTAACTGCTATCTAGGTGGCCTAATCCCTGTAGAAATCTCGATCCATTTCATGAAGCATTCTTAAAAAGGTCTCTCTAAAAATGTAAAAAATGAAAGCAGTATTCGTGGAAATGCTTCCATTTCCCTGCTTTGTCTTTAAAACATCAGACATCCATGGGATAGATTTTTTCAATGTTGAAGTAGCCTTCTTAGGTTGCTTTGAGCTGGGCAGCGAAGTTTAGGACATAATTCAACTCAGTGCAGAAGGTAGATGAGAAGAGCTCTCTCCTCCTCTGTGCCTGCAGAGGAAGCCTTGAGGGACAAACTGACATCCAGACCTCTTCATTGCAGACGTCTGGAGCTAGTTCTCAGGGCCACCCGACTATCTCGTACCACTGCAAAAGAAAGCAGATGTGCTGAGCGTTCAGTGTTAAAACTGTCAGCATTGCACAGGCTTCTCTGATGAGCTGGTGCATGGAGACATTTAGCCAGCCACGCTACACCCTGAGATCCATTCTGTCCACCGTACTTTGTTGGCAAAGGGTTTGCATTAGGGAGAAGTGAAGAATGTGGAGAGTGTGATGTGAGTCATTGTCCATATAAGAGACCAAATGAGTGGGACCATGTACCCCAGTGACGGTGGCATGTTGCTCACACGCAGCATCCTTCTCTGGCCATAAGGTCACACAGAGAGCAGACATTCCTAGTGGGGTCTTAGCTGAGATGGTCTCTGACCACATCTGAACCCTACTCCAGATGTGCCCCAGCTGTGGGAGCACTTGGAACAACTACCATCCTCACCTGGGGTCCGGTGTGGGGCTGCAGGCCTGTGGAGAAGCAAACACCCACCACAGCCCATAGCGTGCAGCTCACAGCTTTGAGTGTGCAGGGGCGCACACAGGTGGAGATGGGACCCCTCCTCCCATGTGGGGCCGGACCATGGAGACAAGGGGCCTGGGCACAGCCATCGCTCAGTAGAGCCTGCTTCCTTCAGGCACATTAGCTGAAGGTGGAGTTGACAGAGAGTGGGACTAGATGACCTCCAGAGATCCCTCCAAACCCCAACTATTCCACTATTCCACGTGATGTGTTTTGAGACAGTCCACTAGAAACAATTTCTACTCTTTGATTATCTCCACAGTCACTGTTGGCACTAGTTAGGATTTGATCCCTATTTCCACTCCAGACAACCTTGCCTTTTATTTTTCGACCTTTCAAAGGTAAGAAGATATTTTCTTTCCCAGATTTGATTCTCAATAGGGACTTCCTCCCAGCCACCTTGACCATCTTCCTCCACAGCAATACGGCCTGCCTGCAGAGACTACTCCTCTGGTGTGAGTGGAAGCTGCAGGTCCTTGTTGGTGTCCACCAGATGCCAGTGGTGTCTGCATCTTTCATTTTTCTCATCAAGAATATCCATGCCTTAGCAGGTACAATTTGGAGAGCCAGGCCCATTGAGGACATAAAGCCTGTTTTGCCAAGTTGCCCTGCACTGTTCATCCACAAGCTCCTCAGCTCTCACAATGTGGATGCGCTCCTGGCAGGCAAGAGGGAAGCTAGAGAGCCTCGTCCAGCTGGGAAACCTCTCAAAGGTAGACCCAGCTCCTCTGCAGACATTCATTCGGTCGAGTACGTGGACCCAGAGTCCTGTGGTGTCCCCATTGCTAGCACCCAGATGCTGATGGTTGCAGCCCTGCTGTAGTTGCTGCTACACAAACCCTGTGTCCTGTTCACCAGCTTGAAGTTCACTGCCATTCACACATGCCCAGTATGAAGGAAGTAGTCAGTCCAGGGAAGTGTACTCAAGCAGAGAAGCGTACTCGAGAGAAACCTATCAAAAACTCAACCAACCCCTTTTATATCCTTTCCCCATGTTTTCCCATTTTAAACCCCAACAACAACTTGGTTGTTGATTGTCTTTTCCTTTAGAATCAAAAGGAATTTTCATGAGCAAAATCACCAAGACCTGGTCTGAGTGTCTTAATCTCATCATTACAAGTCATATGCAGATTGCATGCTGCAGGCATCCTAGTCAAGGGAAGGTTTAAAGGAAAATTGTATGGAGACCACTACAGTGGCTCTGCGGGTCTATGGAAGAGATGTTTCCAAAAAGGGTGTGGAGAAGTTGCTGTGGACACAAGTAGATGGAGATATGCTCTGGAAAGCCAGAGCGGCCAGTGGCTGAACCTGTGAGGAGCTGTGGCCTGTGAGAGACCCAGACCAAGGCAGGGACATCCCTGAAGGACTGCAGGTCCTGGGCTTAGGCATGGGAGGGATTTCATAGTGGGGGCTGGTCAGTAGTCTTGTCATGTCTGGGCTCAGCCACATCAGCTGACTCCATTGCAGCTGAGCCACTAACCTTGTATCCTCTCCTGCATAGACAATGGCAGAAGAGATCATCTCTATTCAAGGCAGAATCCAATCGAGAATTCTTAAGGCATTCCCCTATTTATGGAAATATCCTATGTGGAAAAAGTCAAATCATCCATCCTTCCACAAGACCAGACTCTCCCTGCCCTGCCTCCCAATGCCTCTGCCCCATTTTGGAAGGGACAAAAACTCACTGCGAGTTGCTCTGCAAGTGGGGTTGAGACTTCTGCAAAGTGGAAGAAGAGCTTCCTGCATTGCCTAAGTGATAGGGACACTCAAGAAGAGGGATTGAACCCTCCAAGATCATAGGACTGTTCCACCGTGCTCTGCCCCAGTTACTCTCAATCACAGAACATAGATCTTGAGACCAAAGGTGTGAAACTCAAGGACAGATTTTGGGAGGGAGAGGTGATGACAAGGATCCAGAGCTGCATGTAAACGCTAGCCACCCCACTGGGCAAGACAGGTAAAACCTATGGAGATTGGGTGCAATTTTATGTTGCAGTGTATCTCTGCAGAGGTTAGGGCTCTCTAAAGTTTTCTTCCTGTGGTCATCTGGGGATTGTGGCTCAGATCTTGTTGATCATGTCCTTTGTCATCTGAAGACACATTTCCTGTCATTTTGTTTCCGAAAACTGGATAACCTAAGCAGATCCCTTGACTTTACTTCGCTTAATGGCGAAACCGGCTTTCAGAAGGATCTGAACTATTTTCTCCCCTTTCTCAAAAACTTCCTCCGCTGTGTCACCCCATACAATGATGTCATCAATGTAATGCAGATGTTCTGGAGCCTCACCCTTTTCCAGTGCAGTCTGGATCACTCCATGGCAAATGGTGGGACTGTGTTTCCACCTGACCCTGGGGCAGTCGATTCCAGGTGTACTGGATGCCCCTCCAGGTGAAAGCAAACTGTAGCTTGCACTCTGCTGCCAAAGGGGTGGAGAAGAATGCATTAGCGATGTCAATTGTAGCATACC